GGCACAATGGCTTATCGAAGCCATATGTCTTTCGGTTCGCTGCTGAGAACCGTAACAAATATCTACATTCACACTAATTCCCATGTTGTCCTCAGTAAACTTGCCGAGCGTCAGTTGCGTCAGGCAACAAACGTTTGGCATGTCGTTTTCATAACCCAGAATTAGTTGCGCTCAGAGATTACGCATGCCGAACTCCAAATTCAAGGAATGTCACACTTCTGAAACGTTCCACCAAGCAGCGGAGGTGATGTGATCCAATACTATCGTAATGGCTTACAATGCAAAAGATTGAATGTTCGCAAAAAGCGGGTCACGGATTCGCCGCGGTGCTCCGTGGTACTCGATTATCTGCCACCAATGTCCACGTCAGAGACGGATTCCCGCCTAATATCGACATTCACAAAAGGTGTACTCCCAAATTACAAGGATATTCTTATCGCAGACGATTTAAACATACAAGATCTGGAAGCCATGGCATGTCCAAGGAAAACAGTATAAGCGGAACTGTAAGTATTCCACTGTACAATCACATCACTTAACCTACCAGGTACATAGCTGATATCATAGGTACTAGACATGGTACTTTCTAATGAGTGAATCCTGATCAAAAATCCAATAATCATCACTCCCCTAGGGCGAAGCAAACATGTTATCATATTTCGCAACTGTGTTTTATGCTGAATACTTGGAGAGAGACACTGCACTAACGCACAACAGCACACGTCAAAACATCCTCGAGAATGTGGTTGCGTTGACCGGCTGGGACTTTTGAATGGTGGCTTTCCTTACAACGACTGAATTCAGTTTGTTGAAGGTTGCTAGAATCTGATCATAACTGCTTCAGCAACTAAGCAGTTTCGTCCCACCAATCCATCTTCCTTCCTCGGAAGCAGAAATCGAAACTGTATATCAGTAAAGAATGCGGCCTGGTGCGTTTACAGAGCCCGTCCTGGCCCCGAAATGGACGGAAGTACGTGGACGAGCGCAGCCACTGTACTACACTTTTCTGTGAGGACAAAGTAGCTCACCATAAATACATGAATTTTAAATCTTACAAAAACAATGCGTTCCTATATATGCATAATAACAGCAATCACAAAGTGAAGCAGGGTATTCCCCCACTCAACACAACAGTCGGAGTGGTACAGAGCGCTGGAGAAGCAGCGAATACTCTACGGACGTCGTACGCCACGGACCTTTCAACTTGACGTCCTCAGGGTCACAAACCCACATTCATAGCCCTAATTTCAGCGCTTACTAACGATACATTTGCTGCCACCTCGGTGTTAAAGAAATGGCGCCCACTGCGCACATACAGATGTCATAGAATCGATAACAGTCACTCGATGGTGTTGAACATAGCAACAACAAAGCTGGCAGACGTGTTTGAGTAAACAAATGGTGTCTACCATGTGGAAATATAGTGTAATCACGCCCAGTGTTAAAGTAGCAGTCGCTCGGAACCAGCCAATTATCGCACTCCTTGTATTCGCAAAGGTGATGAAGGCAATCATCTCTGAATCGTTAGTCGACTATCTAGAACGCTGCAACATCACAGCACCTCAGCAGCACGGTTTCTGCTAGTACGGATCAGGCACAACCAACCTACTGATTGCACGCGGTAGTTGGACGGAAGCGGCGACAAAGCGTGTGGGACCAAAGTCATTTAACTCTAGTACTCCAATGTCTTCGACCGCCTGGACCACCACACCCTGCTCTGCAGGCTGGAAAGCTACGAAGTTGCAGACCCTATGTGGATCAGGATTTTTCTGCAGAATCGGCTAGCGCAGGTTAGCGTTTGATTTGCGTTGACAGATCCGCTTCATGTCGAATGCGGAGTTCCACAAGAATCATTTCTGGGCCCGTGTCTGTTTCTCGTGTTCATTACCGAACTTACGCATCTGATCGGCTCGGATTTCGTGTTTTTCGCTGGTGAGGTTAATATGTTGCTGGCGATGGCATACAAAAGAGATCACATTGCATTCCAACGAGACCTAGACAGGGCAAATGAATGGTCATTTTAAAAGCTGCTCCATTTCACGTCTTCCAAATGTAGAGCGACCCACATTAGTTGTCAGCAGAAACTCATATGCAGGCTTGGGGGTCACTTTCAGCAAGCAGTCGCCCAGGAGCGCGACCTTGGGTGCTAATTCAGACGGACTTGGGTTACACAGCACAAGCTGAGAAAACGTCAAAGACTAGAATCCAACATGCTGGGATGCTGTGGATAGCAATCGGGCGGTTTAAGCTAACTAAATGTTCACAACTGCTTGACATATACGTGAGGTCACATGTGCAATACGCAATCCAGGCCTGACAGCCCTGGCACAAGAACTACCTTGCAACGCTCGAGACTCCACAGTGAAGAGCCACGAAGCACGTCAAAGGGTTAGTTCAATTTCCATATCAACTTTGACCGAAAACCTTAAGATTATACAGTGGTCAGTATTGGCGGCCACGCGGTGCACAATAATGACCTACCAGAGTCCAAGAAACCATAACAACGTGTTCCGATACCTATTACAACTTAACAACAACAACCACAACAATAACAATAATAATAATAATAATAATAATAATAACAAGTACCTGATGGACCAGCAGTCCAGGCATGCCGTGCAGTACGGCCGACCAGAATGTCGCTTAAACGTTGACTCCATTCATGCGTCAGCCGTGGAACGTCCTGTTTAATTTCATTGTTACTGCCCCCAGTTTTTTCTTGTTTAAAAACGCGATGACGTTGCCCCAACCTACCTACATTACGAAATATAGCCCGTATACATCGAGATGCCATATAACGCAAAACAAGCATTACCCTACACAATCGAAATAGGTGCTTCCACACATGCCTCATTGTAAACACTATAGTGACTCCACTAAAACGCTTTCCATTGTATTATCATGTTTGTGGTTCTCTTTCTGGCCATCCCACGGGACAGTTTAAGCATTTGTTTTTACCCGTAATATACCATTTCCATCTTCCCATTATGTCACTAAGCCATGGAAGTTACTGCGAAGAAACTCCAAGTATACACATTAAAATGCCTTACTCATGAGTGTACCCTGACTGTGTCGCCTCGCCGTATCGCTATGGCGTATTTAGTTGCTCTATGAGCCAACCCTGTCCCCTGTAACCTTCGAATGAATCATTCCACATAGCAGTTAGCTTGTAGAACAGCAGTCTACCATTGTCCCTCTGGCTTAGTAGCATAGGTTGCTGGCTAGCGACGCAACCTGCTAATGGTCATGGGTTCGGACCCAGATGGAGCTGATGAATACCCACTATTGGTGAGTCCTGATAGGACCAGACAGCCGGATAGTGCTGTATGGAGAAGTGGAGGACTACGTGCTTCGGAATCTTTTGAGTAGAACCCCCAGTCATTTGAAACAAGATTTCCTACCCTTGCGTTTAAATATATTTAAACTTACATCCAGTTATCATGGTCAACTCGGCGAATCCGATGCCATCTTCCGGTTATATTCGTTACCTTTCTTGTTTCGAGGAGTCGTATATAGTACAGGCATCAAATCAAGGGACGACCTACAGCAATTTGTGACCTTAACGAATATCTTTCAGGTACAGGGGAAAAAAAATGTATGTAGTACCAAACAAGCCTCAGTCCACGTGTCTTAGATCTTTCCGTACATCAGAAACAGTTCTGAAGCCGACCTACTTCTCTTACGTATGCACACATGTAGTTTTACGCTTCATCGATCATAAGACTAGTAAATTTTGTTTACCTGCCTTACTAATTCTGAACTTGCAACTAGTCACAAAGTAACTGACATCATACTTTCAGGATAATGTAAGCATGCTCGACAACCCAGGACGCTAAGGTGCGTTGGTCCACAGTTAAAAACCACATATATGAACACCTGTAGGAGAAATTGTAGCAATGAGAGTTTGGCTGGAGTGTACAGTCCGGCATAATGAATGCGTTTGCATACATGGAGAGAGGGACTTGCAAGTGGTAGTCCCACAGCGCGCATTCCCAGGTTCATTCTACTCATCAAGTAACAAGCTTTTTTTTACAGACAACCCCTCTCTGGCCAGCAAACTACAGCAATTACCCTTCAGAACTCACATTTATTCAAGTACATAAAACCTAACTCATTGTCCAAACGGCAAACCAGTCAGTTTCTCGAGGCTACCTGTCTTCTTCTCCACGAACAGTGTATTTCAGTTATGCTCATAATGTCACAAGTCCGACGAGAAGCGTTTCTTACGCTAACACTCTTTCGATCGCAAAAACGGTGGGGCCGATCAACGATGTGTATGCACGGGAGTTGCATTTTATGCATGACTGCTAAAACATGCATCGGTTGATAGAAACACACAGGCCCCAGTAAAATATCCCGTCTTCTTACCGTGGGTCTTGTTATCTCGCTCCCATTGTTCCTGAACTTTTCATCATGTGGGGTACCGCAGGTGTACAACATTGGCAAAAATCAACAGTTCATTTCTGATCATGTGTTGAAAAAACTGAAAAAAGTTTCAGGCGACAGGCTTAAAGGTGCGATTGGCATTGCACTTGAGTTAAAAAAAACAGACGATAAAACGGTGACCAAAGAGACTTCAGCGAATACTTTAATTCTGATGATATCTGAGTTTGTTCGCTGAGTTGAGTGATTCGATTGCAAATGTGTCCTCACTAATCGAGGTGCTAAAAATCCGCGGTGCGTGTGTGGCGCGATTCCCTCTACCATTGATACTTTTATAGCTACCCATCGATATAGGACGAACCGTTCGCAGTCGAAATGCCCAGCTACGCGAACAAACAAATATCGGAGCACCAAACCTGAGCTACCAATATCTCGACTTATTACAATTCATTTCTGAGTTTGATATGACCGATCTACCAATTCCCAATGTTATACTCCGGTTTCAAAGTGGATTCACATTTTCTATCCGGCAAACGCTATTCTAATTAGTCCGTAACCGTGTACGCGAAAAGCATGGTAATCGTTCATTAAGCTCCCCACTAAACAGGTCAATCCATGGCCCAAGGGATTCACACCAGCTTTTGTAATAGCATGATCTACATAGGGATAGGTTAATTACAGAATAGATCGAGTGGCGGAGTGTGTTGGTAAATCCGTATTGGTGATCCAACGGAATAACTGAAACACTGTTCCCTGAAATCCTGGAACAAGTGCGGATTTCCTCTTGTAATTGCAGTCATTGTATATTTGTCGGAGTTCCGGTCAGTCTGGGTGCAAACTTTTCTGTATTTGTCATCGGCATACGCCTCAAAAAGCGGAGTTCATTGGAGAGCTCTGCGATTTCATCTTCTTGAGCTTTCACCAAGTTGGTCAAGCGTTCAATCTCCAGGTGTTCCAGCTGATTGTCCGAGGTATCGATAACTCCAAGCTGAGTTTGAGTTTAGTAAGAAGAAAACAATCAGTAAGATTACATAACACGTGAGAACGACCAAGATTCATGAAGGGGTTGTTTCACATGTCATTGTGTAGTGAAATGGTAGGAAAGTTTGGTCGCAGGGTGGACCGAAGTGTAGTGCATTACTAAGAGACTTACTCATCGTAGGTTATTGTGGCGTACCGTCCGAGACCAGAGCCGGTAAGAAGGTAACTAGGTCAGATACTGCGTGGTGTCATATGCTCGGCTAACATTGTGAAGGCCGTTGTGTCGACAGCTGCTGGTCGAGCTATCTCACTCGGCTTGTTACAAGAGATAGTTCAACTTATCATTCAGCATATTGTTCCTAAAACCATACACTCTTTAAATAAACTTGAAGACAACGGCTATTGTGTATGTTACTGCTGGAATTCAACAAACAGTACTGCTTACTTTGGACTGCAGGGATTCCTTACACTATCGTTGTGTTATTGCTGATAGTACGGAAAACCTATGCAGCTATTACGAATTCGTGACCAATCCCCCCTCAAACAAAAGGCAAAGCCCTTGTTAAGAGTTGTAGTTGGACACAGAAGGTATCACGGGTTTTACAGTTCAGGAGGCTCTGGCGATATGACTTGATAAAACAATATCCAGAGGATGCCTGCGTGTTAGCAGAAGTCCAAATCACTTGAGAAACGCTACCGTTGGTTGGCTGCTAGCTGAAAGCTCTCTCATTGACTGATTTCCCACCAATGGGTTTCAGTCTGATTGGTGCTTACCTCTGCTGAGACCAATAAAATGGAAACAGACATGAACGGCTTATTTGCACAGACTCAGTTAGTAGCAATACACTCGATACGTATGATTTAAAACAGTGTCCTAAGAATGAAATACCATCCACTAAATGTAACATCACCGCTGGAATTAATGTCAGGAAACGATGTATGAAGTCAAATTAACAAGTTAGCATAGCCGATCCAAGCAGTGTCAAATGATACGCTGTTATTACTTTTAAAACAAAATATGTGAACGTCTAAACTTTTAGGATATTAGTCATTTAGAAGAGACAGATATAGGGTAGTAAATCGATAGACATGAAAAGTACACACGTAAGCGCTGAGTAGAAAACTGCGGCACACCGCCAGGGAAAGACTTTTACAGGCAGGGAAGATTACTTTCATTCCGATCAACGAAAAGTATGGTTAGACAAAAGAATTAAATTGAAACGGTGAAGAATATCCGTAGCACGAGGTGTGAATGTGAATTTTGTACTGCTCTAAGAGAAGAGTGCTAATTTTGCAGACGTTTCGTCGCCATATTATGCAACATCGTCAGTGCGGCTTGAAGAGCCTGATTCGCAGAGCCTCGTAAGCGACTTTGAGATCTGACGAAAGCTTAAAGAGAAGATGAATTTAATTGCTCAACAGAAGCCAACTGGGGAAGACGATGTGTGGATTGCGAACTATCAAAAAGAAGTTTGCCAAATGCTGAAAAATCAGTCATTGTCCAAGGTATGCAATTCCATATCAAAGACCCCAACCTCATCGATTTCCTCGTCGCACTGGAATCAACGATGAAGTCATAAAACAGCGCACCTGAAGCACAACAGTTGACCAGACGTAGGATCGTCTCGGCTCTCAGTCATAAAATTGAAACAAACATACTCAGTGCCACGCAACAAAAAGGTCTGGTGAGTCTCAAAGAAGACAAGAGCATAGTTATACTGCCGGCTAACAAAGGAGACCTTACGGTTCTAATGGACAAAAGTGATTACATGATGAAGGCACAACATCTGCTCAGCAATACCAACACATAACAACTGATGAACGAAGATTCGACAAAACGATTAGCAGGCAATATCAAACACACTCTGCTAAAACTAGAACAAATGAGGCGAATGGCAAAGTTGAGAAAATATGATGAAACGGGAAGATTCCATATTACCGTGATGCTACGTTCCCCCAAAACTACACAAAAGCGAAGTGTCCCTCGCTCCCATCTTGTCGCTACCTGGAGCATCAAACTACAGCCTTGCAAAACAGCTCTGGAGACAGCTAAAACATCTAATTGCGAAATTAAAACACTCGATCAACTCGGCAGAACAGTGCCTAGCAAAACTCAAAATCATAACCATAGAACGAGACGAAATAATAGTCTCTTTTGACATGACGGCGCTGTTCAAATCGATCGACGTCAACTTGGCGAAAAAGACAATGGCAGCTTCTGAACCAAGTAGCACAATCGATGCCAGACAATGGGGTTGCTGGGATTCCGTCTACTAACACAGTTTAGTTTCAGCGTCCAAATCTGCAAGCAGATAAGAGGCACAACAATGGGATCGCCGATTTCTGGACTGGGTGGCCGAAGCAGTGATGCAGACGCTAGAACGGATAGCTCTCTCGAGTGTGAAGCCGAAACTTTGGGCACGATACCTAGAAGATACCTTTGTCATCCTTAAGTGTTCCAAGTTAGAGGAGACACCTGAACTAACCAACAGTGTATTCAACGGTATCCAATTCACGAGGAAAGAGGAGAACAATAGATAGCTAACATTTTTGGACATTCTCATTAGTAGGAATGGTTCAGAACCGCTGAAAACGACTGTCTATCGCAAACCAACACATACGGACCCGATCCTCAACTACAATAGCAATCTTCCGGAAGTCTGTAGCACAACTGCGTGCTAACTGCTTTCAAATGAGCATGGACGCATTGTAGCACGCCGCAGCTGAGACGGGCGGAGGAAGACTACCTTTTCAGCGTGTTCAAACGGAGTTCGTGTCAAAAGGGTCCATTCTGCGTTTCTTGGCCCCACATAAAGCAACACAGCGAACCTCAACAAATGCAACGATGAAAAAGCGATCCTTGTTGTCTTACATCAACGGAATAGCTGAAATGTCAGCGAGACTTTCATTACCTGTTGGGATCAAAATTGCCCACCAAACAACAAGCATAATACGAACTAAACTCTTCAAAGTGAAAGGTAAACAACGAGTGGGAAACATCTGGTGTAATCTATAAGATCTGCTGCCGCAGCTGTGAGAAATACTACATAGGACAAACAAGAGGAAAACTTGGCACACGGCTACATGAACATAGGCTAGCCTTCAGCTGTCATGATTAGAACTCTTTGATGTCCGTACCTGTGGATGCCAAAGGCCACCAGTTCGACCTAGAGCACGCCGAAATCCTCGGAAGAGCCATATGCCGGCAAGCACGCGAGTTTATTGAAGCCTGGCATTCAAAGCAGAACTCGATCAAAAAGCACTTAGCTCTCGAAGTCGCTTACGAGGCCCTGTGAATCAGACTCTTAAAGCCGCACTGACGATGTTGCCTAGTTTGGCGACGAAAAGTCTGCAAAATAATCGTTCAGCTCGGAGGGCAGTGCAATATCCACAAACGAGATAAGTCTTCATCAATGTCCGGCATCAGTGATTTGGCCCATTCGACTAACACACCACTTCCCTGTAAGATACGCAACATCTACCTGTCCCATAATATCAAGCACATTACCGACACCTTTGTTTACAAATGTCATTTTCAACCCATCAGTTGTGCTTAGCAAGTTACTCTCACTGCGTGAGCATAGTTCTCCAGGAGCAGACAACATCCGCCCGAAGGCACTGAAGGCTATGGCCACCAAGTTAGCTGAACCACTGTCACAGTTCTTTCAAAGGTGCTTTGATGAACAACAAGTCCCCACTATGTGGAAGTGTGGCATTATAACCACTATTTTTAAAGGCGGTAGCCGTTCCGATCCTGCAAACTATCGTCCAGTGACTCTCCTCCATGTGCTCGCGAAGGTGATGGAATCTGTCGTCGCTGAGGCGTTAATGAATTACCTGGAAAAATGTAACATTTTGGTACCGGAACAGCATGGCTTCCGTCAACACCGGTCATGCACCACCAACCTACTTATTGCACGAGGTAGTTGGACGGAAGTGGCCGATGATGGGGTCGGAGTCGACGTCATCTATCTGAACTTCTCCAAAGCTTTCGACCGCCTTGATCACCGCATCCTACTTCAAAGGCTACAAAGTTACGGAGTCGGAGATCCGGTACTTGGTTGGGTTGGCAACTTCCTTTACCAACGAAAGCTTCAAGTACGTGTTAGAGGCTCACTTCCTAACCCAATTGAGGTGGAAGGTGGTGTCCCACAAGGCTCAGTGCTAGGACCGCGTTTATTCCTGGTGTTTATCAACGACCTGGCAAGAGTCATCTCCTCAAACTTCCTGCTTTTCGCCGATGAGGTCAAGATATGACGGATGATTAGTAACAAGGCAGATCAGGATCTGCTCCAACATGACCTAGATTGCATTTACGAATGGTCAAAGAGAAACAAGCTTCAATTGAACATGGCCAAGTGCAAAGTGATGCATCTGCGTCACCAGCCGGTGAGCGCTTACAAGATTGGAGACCACACCTTGGCGAAGGTTTATCAGGAGCGTGACCTGGGTGTATTGGTACAGGAAGATCTCGGGTGTCCAAAACAAGCAGAGAAGGCGACGAGAACCGGAAATCAACACTTCGGCCTTCTTCGCAGAGCCTTCGGTCGGTTTGAACCCTCAATATTTCCCCGAATGCTTAACGCCTACGTGCGACCTCACGTGGAATATGCTATTCAGGCGTGGCAGCCGTGGCAGAAACAGGATCTCGTTGTTCTCGAGACTCCTCAACGAAGGGCAACCAAGAACGTCAGGGGCCTCTTTCATCTGCCCTATCAGCTTAGACTGAAATCTCTGAGAATGTACAACAGTCGATATCGGCTTTTGCGGGGGGATCTCATAATGGTTTACCAGATTCTGGAGAACCCAGACCGCATTTGCCGTCCGCTGCTGGAATTGAACCACAACACTAAACTAAGAGGTCACCCTCTGAAACTGACAATTCATTATAGCCGGCTTGAATGCCGTAGAAATTTCTTCTCTCCGCGTGTGCCAGCCTTGGAACGCTCTCCCTAATTATGTCGTCTCTGCTCTCAAATTGGCGATATTTAAAAAACGTGTTGACGA